TTAATTATTTTTATTAAAAATTTTTTTTTTACTTTACTGTTGGGGGCTTTGGGGGAAATATCCTGGAATTCCCCTTTTAAAATAGAAAAAGAGATTGAGGACATAAAGTCCTCACTCTTTTTCTGCAGCCCCTGTTATAAATTAACAGGAATCGTTTATACGGAGTGTTCCTGTTCATTCATAACTTGTGGGGATAGTATGTTTACCACAGTGCTCCCCTCCCCCACACTACTCGGCCTCCTGTCACAGTTTCTCTCCTCCCCACTGGACGCTGCCCTGTGAAAGAGCTGTGAATATTACATCACTTTCACATTCAGCTGTCATTCTCTGGCTACAGAAGCTGGTGAGAAGCTCCAGCTTCATCAGCTTCTATGGGGGTCCCTAGGTGACATGCGGGGTCTTTAGAAACCCCTGATATCTCCATAAAGGGGGCCTGTCACTGTAAATTGGCTATCACACATGGGGGCTTCTATGTGATAACAATAAAGTTAAGTGAAAACAAAAGTTTAAAAAAAACTTAGTTACAGGAAAATTAAAGTCAGATATAAAAATAAAAAACCCCCCACAAAATAGATGTTAAAGTCCCCAGCCCCCACAGTGATTGGATTGCTTAGGATGCAGTCACCATTGCCAATTTTTCACCTGGCACCTTCAATGACCAATACCTTCTTGGCTGTGTTTTTGTCCTTATTAGAATAAATCTTCCTGTATATACTGTATTTTAAAATAAAGCCCAGTTCCAAGGAAATTGACATGTTTGCCTTGCAATGAGGCTGCCCACACATGACAAGGGTTAACTGCTTGTTAATGCCTAGGGACGAGCAAAGAGCTGATTTACTTAGAAGAGGTGCTTTCCTTTTCTCCCCTTCACTCTGATTGTAGACTGTTCCTCGGTGTCCTCACATACAATGCAGGGCTGTGGAGCATGCATTGTACATAATGACATAATTGGGCTGTAGACCACTGGAGGGAAGGGGAGAAGAGGATGCGAGGACCAGCCTAGCAAACTAGATGGAGTTGGTAAGAGTGTCCCCTGCCCCACTACAAAGTAACACTTATATTTTCTCTGGAGTTAGGCTTTAAATTGTACAATAGGTTAATGATAAACCACTGGTAACCATGTTCCTTTTTAAATGAATGCTCCACCCCTAATTAAATTACATTCTTTGCCTACAATGACTTGTTGAACGCACAACAAAAATGTGTCCCTGGAAATTTTTTTAATTTCCAGGGACACTGCTGACTACAGAATTCACAAAAAATACAAAATGGAATTTAGCAAAAATATTACATACCGTGTTTCCCCGAAAATAAGACACTGTCTTATATTTTTTTTGGCTCACAAAAACACACTAGGTCTTATTTTCGGGGGAGGTCTTATTTTTTTATATTTTTTTTAATGTATAACAATCCAAAGTTAATGCAAATCCAAATGAAATAATCCAAAATGGCAAAGTTAGGAATAGGGTGATCAGGGCAATCAGGGGTACCTTTCCAAGAGCAATTTGGTAACCAGAAAAAGCGAAGCGCACTTTCACTATAGATTCCTCACAGGCGGAGTGCATTGGGTATCACTCCACCTGTGACAGGAGTTGGCGCTATAGAGTAAACATAGGCTTATGCGGCTCTGCTCCCTGTGCTGCCGCATCACTTCCTCTAGCGCTGGCTTCATTGGCACGCTGATTCTCTCCCACGGCTCTTCAGGTTCCCCCTTATGCCACCACCGGCCCTGGCAATGGTCACAACTAGGTCTTATTTTCGGAGTAGGTCATATATTTGATCAATTCCCAAAAATAGTACTAGGTCTTATTTTCGGGGTAGGTCTTATTTTCAGGGAAACAGGGTATCTACGGATGATAGTAATATTTGCTGCAATAGATAAATGGTGCAATAAGTAGAAGATATGTACTGGGTGCCGGAGCTCCTAAACATCCTCAGTTCTGCCCCTTTTGCTTGAAGAAATGTATAAATACCACAGATTTTCCACATTGTAGGCAAAGCTTATCTTCTAAGATATACAATTTTCCTTCCAAATTGTCATGTAAGCAGCAGAAGTAGTCACTAGAGCTTCTATAATTAGATTTGTTGCAAACTTGAGTTTTTCTAATGACAGAACTTCTAATGAAGTTTAATTCCCTGATGCAGCCACTCTTGCTAGCTGCAAGAATTTGTATTTTCGCAGAATTATGGCTTTTAGATGACAGGAAGTTCTTTATATTAACTGTAATATTTACATAGTTGTGCAAAACCATAGTTTTGGAACGGTAATAGGAACTGTAATAGTTCTTAGTAGTCTACATTTTTTTGCATTAGGATAATTAATTATGAAACCATGAAGCAATGAGAGAATAAGTTGACTCTGTAAATCGGTAATCTTTGGTTTTCCTGATTGCTTCTTTGTATGTCTGTTTGATAGCAGAGAATGATTTAATTCAGGATGCAGGCTTCTGATCTTCTGATTCCCACAGTGTATGGTCAGCTTTACTAAGCATGTTTGTTCTTTTTGAGAGCCCTGAGATATTCTGATTGCTTGGTCAGACCCTGCAATAAAAACAAGATAATTAGGAGATGAGATAAACCTTTTAGTGCAGAATAATACACTATGAGAATTTTGGCTGGTTCATCAAGAAGTGTCTGAAATTCGCAGTGTATGGTCAGCTTTATTCAAAATTTGCTCAGTGGGTGGCCTCGTCAGCTGCTGCCATTGTTCAGGTTTTCTGACAGCAGCATATTTGGCGCTGTCAGAATACATCAGCCCAGCAGAAGATTCGTCCATCCTTGCTGTGTAGCATGGATGGAATAATGTTATATTTTTTTGTTCAGCCTGCAGTTTGAACTAGAACAATGTATGTTACACTTTTGGAAGTTAAAAAGTACCTTTTCATAGATATATGTACATTAGGGCTGCAGCTAACGATTATTTTCATAATCGATTAGTTGGCCAACGTTGAGGAAAAGAGCAACGGCGTGCGCGGCTTCAGCGTCCTATGCGGTGGGAGCAGCGTGTGGCTCAGGCCGCATGTGGAGCCCCGAACAGGCGATTTGCCGAATCGACGATCGAAAACGTTGCCAATCGTCGATTTTAATCGACTAAATCGATTAACTGTTGCAGCTCTAATGTACATCAAGTCAAAAAGAGGGACAGATGAATTTTGTACCAAACGAGGGGCAGTCCCTCCAAACGAGGGACAGTTGGGAACTTGGGAGGCATGCTATTGATTCAGATTTGGTTACTGGAGTAGTGCCTAGAGCCCTTTTAAAAACAGCTATGCAAATACTAAGGGAGTTATTCACTAAAGAGCTGAAGGATGTAGCCTAACGTTCAGTTAATCCTTCAGCTCATTTCATACGCAGGAACCCTTCGGTTCAGGCGAACCAAAGGGCTGGTGTACGCGCTATTCACAATAGCCCATACAGCAGCTGATGGCAACCGAAGCACACAGCTAAGCATATGCTTCAGCTCGACACAGCCGAAGTGGGGAGAACGTTCCGCCAAAGCTGACTGACTAGTTGTTAAAAAATAGGGGTTTTTTAAAACTGCGCTCTAAACACTATGGACTACCACTACCACTGTGTCATCAGCTCATCAGAATGCGGTGTGCATCCCAGATAGCAAGGATAACTTGCCACAAACTTGTGGCAGGGTTAAATTGTAATTCTTGTTAACTTGCTGCACACATTCCTGGCAAGTTGTAGACTTGCAGAACACTTACAGCACAAGTTCTAGTTGACACTTTTTGAATTTGTAGCAAATTTGCTTGACTACAGCAAGAGTCCGGTAGGTCTTAGGAAGAGCTCTGCAAGTGTACAGAACTTTTGCAAAGCACGTTGATCTGGAGACTTGCAATGCAGACTTGCTGTAATTGTGCAACAAAATTGTGAAGCTTGGCAAGTCTGCAATACTTTAGCAAGTCATTTTCAAACTTGCAGCTCTATTGCTTGCTATCTGGGATGTGCAGAAACACGCTTTTTTACTGTCACACCTGATCGTGCGTCACCAGAAGTAACGACTTTGGCTGATCTGATAGAATGGCTGGTCTGACATAAAACCAAATTTATCACCTCTCTGAGCCAAGACACTGATCACAGGAACCATCCCCAGGAGCCGTCACCCTTCTCTGAATCAGAGTCTTCTGATTTGGATCTTTTATGAAGGTTCAGACAGCTCCTGAGCTTCGGTTCTTTTGCTTGTCAGCCGACTCAGCAAGTGGTCCGATGATTCAATTCATGAATCGGTTCTTTTGAATGAACTGACCAAAATGAACCGATTCATTTCAAAGATCCGAACTTCCCATCTCTATCAGCTACTTCAAAGTCAGCACAGCACAGAACAGGGGGCAGGGGCGGGGCGGACATCACTCAAGCCGAAGAAACATACCACTGCATCTATTTATCTCAGCATGTTTGTCTGCAGGGACAAACACCAGTGCCCTCAGGCAGCTGCTTGACCTGCTTGTGCACTTACACCGGCCCTGATCGACTGAGGGGAACAGATTCTTCCCTTCGGTTCAGCCGAACATGCAGAGGCTGTTAGGCTGAACCTAAGGGAAGTGAAGTGAGCCAAATGCTGCCAATGTGCGGCTAAAAATTGTTAGCCATACAGAGCTGCTGTGAATGGCTGAACAGGCTTCAGCTCATTTCACTTCGGCTCAGTTACTCACTCAGCTGCCTTCAAATTCTCTGATATTAAACACACATGTGTATGTATGTATATATATATATATATATATATATATACATATATATATATATATATATATATATATATATATATATATATATATACACACACATAC